AAAACGTATAATACTCGAATTATACTCCGTCCGAATTATTTCCGTATGCTGAATTGCTAACTAGATGTCGAGTTATTGATCCATTTAAAACAGGCTTTGCAAGCATGCGCTAGTTGAGCTCAACTAGTAAAAACATTTGTATATGATACCATACTGCCAGAGGTTTGGAGTTTGATTTTGAACCCTGCCAGAGGTTTGGAGTTTGAATTTGAACCCTGCCAGAGGTTTGGAGTTTGAACTCTGCCAGCATTACGATTTACGAGTTAACCGCCAAATTTTTGCCAATAAAAACAACGGTAGTTAACTACTTAACTCATACAATTGGTGTATGGGCCATTAGCCCATTAGGCCATGGACAATCGTATGATGCAATTATCCATGGATGCCTATTTATCCATGGGCTATATTGAAATCTGGATTCAAACTTGTTGGACCTAATTAAACGGGCAGGTTAAATTGAGTCCACTATAGTGAAACCCTAAAGGGTTTTAGGGTTTATTGAAAACCTATTTATAAACCTAAAAGCATGTCTCTTCTTCTCACTCTAATTTCATTCTTCTTCGTAGCTGCTGTAGAAAATTCCTCTATTGATGATTAACAAATTTTTATAGTTAAATCTAAACGTTTGATTCAATCTCACGTGGAAGCTTTGTATTGGTATTTGATAAAAGTTTAAGTTTTTATTTTGGTTTCTTTTGATTTTCAATATTCGTTTATGATCTATGACTAGTGATAACTATTGATCAAATTGATGAATACCCATTTTATATTACTTGATTTGAAGAAATGGGTATCTCTTATTTTTCAGAAATCGCATCAGTTTACCCTCTTCTTATGTTACTCTGTTTTAATGAGTAGGGAGATATAATTGGTGCGTAGAATGTAAGGTTGGCTTACCAGCTCATTGCACATTTGTTCTTGCTTTGGGGTCAAATGGACCTACCGAAATCTCATCTATTTTTTTCTAATTTTTATAAAATTCTATTTTTGTGTGTAATTTATATGTATTATTGTGGCAAATGATGATAAAAATGTTGATATGCAAACTACTGAATATTTCTGTAGACTACAACTCCGCTTATTATCTGATGCTATAATGAGATGTTTATGAAGTTGAATTATATAATTGTTTGTTGATATTTTGTTTTGTAATTGGGGTTTTTTTTGTATACATATGAAAGCAAATGATGAAATTAAATCTTATCCTACACACCGAACTGTATATGTAGATTATATCTCACAATTTTGTTATCTGATGCTTTCAGAAAAAAAACTTTTTTTAGTATAATTTGAATATGCCCTTTGCATATAATGTTGTATGAATTGGTTACTTGTTAACTCTGTGATGAGAAAAAGCGGACGGGCGGTCAGAACCTGATGCCGTGTTGAATGTCTGCACTTTCCAATCTTGGAACGTCTCTGAGGGTTTCTAGAACAATATATTCACAGCATATAATGCTTTATAATTCATTGTTTTGGTAAAAAAATTTTGTAATGCCATGTGTTATTTTATATTTGTGTTTTGTATGTTATGATACAAATTATATGTATGTTCTGCTATGATGATCTAGCCAAATTTATGTCTGGACTTCTGAGATCAGTCTATGATTGGATGTGCTAAATTCTGAGCTTAAGTATACTTCTGAAATTTTAGTAATTGGTGCGATATTTTCAACTATGATTGGTAATGTTTTAAGAGCAAAACTATTAGTAGCATTTAGCAATTATTTTGCATACGGACCTGAGATCTGAAAGCAAGGCAGAATTAACTTTTAGTATCACTTCTAGGTAGTATAAATATACAACGCTGTTGGTAAAAATAAATAGAGGTGGTAATCAGGTCGGGTCTGAAACACCTGACCTGATAAGCTAAACAGGTCAGAAATACAGACCTGAACCTGACCTGATCTAACCCGAAATCATGAGTGTCTGAAATTCTGAATTCCTGATATTGTTCAATTGAAATTAGTCTCAAAATGTAACAAAAATTAAATTTCAATACCCATTATAGAACAACACTAACTGATCAAAATTTCTCTACTCTATATATTAATAATTGCAAAGCAAGCATTGTATTGAAAGAAAGTATGTACATGAGCTAAACTAATGGCAGCAGCTGTATTATTCAAGATTTCAATTAGTTCAAGAATAAAATGATGAAATTCGACCCCATAATAGTAACGTTGTTGAAGAACTAAGGGGGGGATTAGATTGATTTCCATTACCATTTTTGCGACGCAAGCAAAAACATCTCATTTGGAAAAAAAATTACAAATAAAAGGGACCAAACTACAACTCAATCTTAAATTCCATTAAGTCCTATTTTGATTACTTCAACAGTCACAGTCAGCGAACTAAACCCACGGAGAGAACTCACAGATCCAATTAAAGTAACCACGAAAAGATCAAAAATTTGCTAACAAAATAATAAATTAGAAAACACAAATGAA